GAAATTTGTTATAATTTTTCATGCTTCAGACATACAGATATCCATGGTAGTTGTAGCATTTTACAGGAATTCAGGAGAAGCTTGGTAAATATTTTAGTGAAGTCCCCTAGAGTTGAGAAAAAGCTTAAATGAGGTGTAAAATCTTGGATAAGATGCACACAACTGAGAAGAATGATTATCTCTTCAGGGAGGTTTATAAGATACTACAAATTAGTCACTTCAATTAATCACTTCTATTTTATTACTTAATTTAACCATATATTACAAGGGTGTTTATTCTAATTGACCTTTCATCCAAAGCACAATTTCATTAAATTATACTTATCCAGTTTGCTTTTAACATAGAAGGGATCCTTTTCAGTTTGTCATCAGATGTAGAAATAGGCCAGTGCTTTACACAACTGTGTTTGGTGTCAATGTATAGAGAGAGTAATGCAGCCAAAAGTTTGTACATTGGGGTTAGGGCTCCTAGGTTTGAGTATAGGTTCTACTGCTCCTTTTAGGCATATTACCTAACTTCTCTACTTCACTTCCTTCATTTGTACCATGTTTATGAAAATAACACTTATCTTGCAGAGATATAATAAAGATTAAATAAGCTAACTCAAAAGAAAATGGACAGAGAACTAAAAAAATATTCATCATTATTTGTCTTAACACCTAAAATTTTAAGTGTTTTTATAAAATAAGTCATTCTAAGTGCTGCTAGTTATTCTTTGGGGTACTTACTGCGCACAGGTAGTATACTAATGAATGAATAGAATAGCCACAATCTTTAAGGTGTCTACAGTTTAGTGAAGGAAATGAAGAAGAATAAGGAATTATACTATAAGTGCCTAATAGAAATGATACTGTGAGACCACCATGGTAGGAATAACTAATTCTTCCTAGGGCAGTTAGAAAAAAAATCATATGGTTGTTGGATGTTTAAGGATTTATCCTAGTAAGTGTGTATATCCTTACTCATTTGAAGAAGTCATGAAAGACAAATGCTGAGGAACTATTCAGATTGACAATAGAAATGTGAGAACTTAGTGCAACTCTGGATCCTATATTGGGGGAAAAAAATCCTAAAGGATGTTCCTGGGACAAGTGACAGAATTGGAGTATGTACTATAGATTAGGTAATAGAGCTTTATCAGTGTTTAATTTCCTGAAAGTGATCGCTATACTATAATTCTGTAAAATAAATAAATAAATAAAAAGAAAGAAAGAAAATCCTTATTCTAAAATGTACCACTGAAATATTAAAAGAGTTAAAGGGAACAATACTATTTGTTCTACATTTGAGTTTTTCTTACATTCCAAAAATAATCTCACAATCATTCAGCAGTTGTTCCCCTTATTCTTCAAGGAAATGGATAGTATCACAAACTACACTTAAATAAATAGTTTGGGCGGGGGGGGAATGGTGAACACAGAATGATGAAACTTGTGGAAAAATGTTAAAAAAAATAGGGATTGATAGTATATAGGAGTTGAATTGTGTAAATTTTTTTGACTTTTCTGTAAATGTGCTATTACTTCAAAAGAAGAAAATAAAGAGAGAAAAGGCATCATTTGAAGCCATCTTCCTTGAAAAGAAGCATTTCTAGATAACCTAGAGGCTAAGTTCATTGGGTGTTTAGGAAGGCAGAGCAAATATGTAGAAAGTCTATGGAGCCATAAAAGAAAATGACTGATTTGCACGTAGTTCAGAATGGTAATTTCTGTGTCAATGTAAGAAATTTAGAATACAGCCTTTCAAATATCTGTAGAGAACTAGTTTGGATATTCTTAAGCTGACATTTATGAACTATTACTGCTGAGAATTCAAGAAATATTTTGCAAATTATTGGATGAAGGTTATGCCAGAGTCATGTTTTACATACTATTATCAGTAGGAAATCTCATTTTGTAAATATCCTGAAATTTTTTTTCCTGCTTGACAACTTGTAATTATTACACAACTATTTTTAAAAGATGTGTAAGAGTTTGGACAGGCTTAAGCTAAATAGATAGTAGATACTTACTATTCTTGTAGCCCCAGAATCTTAACATTAGTGGCAATTTGGGAATTTCTACCAACAAAACAGAATAAAAATGCCTTAAGCATTTTATATCATCAACATCCATCTTTATTAAAGTATTTTAGAGTGTAGCTGTGAAGAATCATGAAATTTTTGAAGCAACAAAATAAGTGGTTTTGCTAGTAATTTTCACCTTTAAAGGTCATAAACTTTACATGGTAATTTGACCCTTTTGTGCTAATGCTTCATTGTTTTATTTCTTAGTCTAGGGATTAAGGCATTTCTTCTAATGATAGTCATTTAAATTATTTTTATTGCTAATCTCTTGATAGCAAGACTTCTGCATAAAAAGGCCAACTGTCTCTGTGTTTCATATGTGTAATAATTTTTAGGACTTTAAATGAAAGATAATGGACCAAGTTCTCAAACAATATTCAAACATTTCCTTACTGAAAAAGGAAAATCTTGTTGAATGCTTTTGAGATTGTGGTTGGAAAATGAGGAAAACGCAAAGTTTGCACAAAGTTTCTAGGAAGTTAAAGATCATAAAATATTGCTACATTGATGTTCATAGCAGCACAATTCACAATAGCTAGACTGTGGAACCAACCTAGATGTCCTTTCAATAGATGAATGGATAAAAAAATGTGGCATTTATACATAGTGGAGTACTACTCAGCACTAAAAAATGACAAAATCATGATATTTGCAGGGAAATGGATGGCACTAGAGCAGATTATGCTAAGTGAAGCTAGCCAATCCCTAAAAAACAAATGTCAAATGTCATCTTTGATATAAGGAGAGCAACTAAGAACAGAGCAGGGAGGAAGAGCATGAGAAGAAGATTAAACAGGGACGAGAGGTGGGAGGGAAAGGGAGAAAGAAGGGAAATTGCATGGAAATGGAAGGAGACCTTCATTGTTATACAAAATTACATATAAGAGGAGGTGAAGGGAAAGGGGGGGAAAAACAAGGGAGAGAAATGAAGTATAGTAGATGGGGTAGAGAGAGAAGATGGGAGGGGAGGGGGGATAGTAGAGGATAGGAAAGACAGCAGAATACAACAGATACTAGTATGGCAGTATGTAAAAATGTGGATGTGTAACCGATGTGATTCTGTAATCTGTTTACGGGGGAAAAATGGGAGTTCATAACCCACTTGAATCAAATGTATGAAATATGATGTCAAGAACTATGTAATGTTTTGAACAGTTAATAAAATAAATAAATAAATAAAAAGTTGACCATATGCACACTCTAAAAAAAAATAAATAAAATAGATTTAAGTTTTTAAAATTTTTCTAAAAGAAGTGATAATAATTTTCCATATTTGTTATTGCATAAATACACATTTAGATAATTTCTGTATGATAGCTATATATTATTTCTACTTTGAATTTTTTATCAAAAGGATTGAAACATTGAAGCATAATCCAATGTGCATTATTTTTTACAAAGTAAACTTCCTTTCTGAGAGTGAGATGCGAATGAATTTTGGAAAATTAAATAAAACTAGAGCTTTGGGGATTAACAAGCCAGTTTTTAAATTTTATTTCCAATGGTTATAAGATAGAATATTAATTTTTATAGTTTCTTGATTTTTGACTAGAATGGTTGAATTCTGTGGTATAAACATACTAGTAGATTTCTTTATGAATTCTCTTTGCAGAAAAGTTTCTGATAGATTGAAGTGTTTTTCTACTTTATTATGTTGTAAAACAAAGATATGTAAGCTTTTTGAAATGGCTAAAACTTGAAAACTTGAGTATTTAATTATTAGAGAATATAAAATCATCTGTTGTAGTTTATTTTATTTTCTATATTCATAGTTACTGATAAATTAAAGTAGCATGCAGTCTTCATGTTTTAGGTATTTTAGACTATTATTGTAAATCTGGAAGATGTTCCAGTGATTTTCATTTTTAACTATTTGTGGGAAAAAAAGTCTTTTTTTTACTGTTTGCTAATAATAATTTGTATCTATATTGTATTTGTAAAAAAAGGTTGGTTTAAGAGGTCATAAAGTAAAATTTAGCTAGTTTTATTAAGTATATTTAAAATGTATTTAAAGTTTTAAATATTTGATGATTCTCTAATTATTGAGAGAAGAATTGAGAGAAGAATCAAACAATGCAGTTTTAATTTATCATTTATTTTTTTGTTAGCAACTGAAAGCATGTAGTGAAGAGCAAGAAGACAGAGAATGTTTGAACCAAGCTATTACTGCTCTCATGAATCTTCAAGGTAGTATGGACCGAATTTACAAGCAGTATTCACCTAGACGCCGACCTGGGTAATTCCAAACTGTTAAAAATATGAATATTGGGGCTGGGGTTGTAGTTCAGTGGTAGAGTGCTCACCTAGCATGTGTGAGGCCCTAGGTTC